AAGAATATTGAATAATGGAGCGACAGATTAGTTTATGAAGAAGAAAAATACAAGATCTTTATGAATCACTATAGACAGCATGGAAGTAAGAGCAAGGGAGTATGATGCAAAGAACATATGTGAATGAAGATTTCACTGTAATGTTTCTACATACAGCAATAACTGTAAAGCATTTAGCCAAGTAAAAAATTCTTCTACCAATTAATACTATGTTCTTCCGTTACAGTAGTACTAGAAATTCTGTTCCGGTAAATTGTTAGACTGTAACAACCTTATTTTCTTTCAGTTACGTAAAAGCTTTTTCTGTTTTTGTAAATTATAATAATTTCTTTTAACAAGGTGTCGTTTTTCTACTTCATTCAATCGATTTATGCATGTTCAGTTTCTCCCTTTGTTTGCTTACTATGCTCTTTAACTTTTCTCTTCTGCTTATTTTGTCGTTTTACTCCTTTCACGCATCTTTTTTCTCTTCTACATTAGTTAATCAAATTCCGTCTTCCTTTAGCTGTTTTACTTTAACTGTTTTGGTCTTGTTATTTAATCCTGTGTTATGTACTTCTTCTTCCCGAGTAGATGAGTGTAAAATCTTTTATTAAGCTTGTTTATTCAGTTCAGGGTGGTTAGTGTGTTTTTGTCTTGAGGAGAATAAAGGGGGAAATAAGACCATCTTCTATTTTTTTTTAAAATGCGTACTCATAAGACTTTATCAAGCAATACTTACTCTCAACTGAACCAACCAACTCAAAATCATTCAATGAAAACACAAAGAAAACCATCCTACCGTATATGAAGAACATTTTTGAAATCACTGAATGACTGCTCAAAGCTTTACAAATGGTTGTCGTCGCCTACAAAGTAGAGAAAAATCACTTCAATCTATACCATATCAATTAAAAGACGCAACAGCAAAAGTTAACGGCACCCACGTCATCTACAAGATAAACTACAACAACTTTGAAAAAACAAGAACATTATATTAGTTAAAGTAGACACCCACTTTGTCTTCGCATCCACAAAATATCAAAAGACATGATATCCATTCCCTCATATCAATGCATGTAGACAACTGAGGACACCAATTCCACTGTGAAAAAATGTAAAAATCTTAAACGAAGGAAACCCTAAAAGTGCTAATGATTTCTTGGAATCCTGGTACTTAGATGGATTCGCAATCAACAGACACACTGACATTATTATTATTCCCTTGGGTTCCTAGTGGAACATAAGGCTTCAACTGCACGTCTCCACTTGCTTCTGTCTTCTGCTGTACTTTTTCACCTGCATCCATGTTAGTCCGTACTGCTTCAACTCCTCTTCACACGATCTCCTCTATGTCACCCTTGGACGTCCCACTCGCCGCTTCCCTTTCGAGTTCCACTCGAAGGCCTGACGCGCAAAGTCACCCAGCGGCCTCCTCAGCGAGTGTCCAATCCATCTCCACTTTCTCCTGCATATTTGTTGGGCGATTGGTTCTTGTTTTGTTTATTCCCATAGTTTCTTGTTGGTGATTCTTTCCGGCCATCTGATCTTGAGTATAGAGCGAAGACAGTTGTTATTGATAAAGGTCTGCAACAGGCTGTTGGAAATATTCTTTGTGACCCGCCAAGTTTCTGATCCGTATAGAAGAACTGACTCACTTGACGTTTGTATTGGAAATCCGAATTTTGTTGTTGATGCTGAGTGACGAAGATTTCCAGATTGGTTTCAGATTGATGAATGTGTTTCTCGCCTTCCCGATTCTCGATTTGACATCCTCGTCCGTTCCTCCTGTGGTTGAGACAATGCTCCCTAGATAAGTGAATGAAGTAACCTCTTTCAAATCCCTCCCATTGATGGTGATTGGCGCAGGATGTTGCTGCTGTTGTTGTTGTTGGTTGGTTATTTTCATAACCTCCGTCTTGTCTATGTTCACCTGGAGTCCTGTCTTCTCTGGCTGCTTATTCGACCAGTTTGTCGGTTTTCGCTTATAAGTCTTCGATTTTGTGTGACATCAAACATAAATCATCCGCGAAATTCAGGTCTGACTGACATAGATTACATTTATTAAAAAAATTATAAAAAAGACGTCATATGGACTAACGATTAACTTCGAGGTTGGGAAGATAATTATTAGCGATACAATCAGACTAGAAGGTGGGATAATCTCCGCAAGCATTCAGTCAGTTTCAAGCCGCCTAAAGCAGATGATTAATAAACATGGAGAATTTTGTAAGACCTCACTCCATTTCGAAATCTTTAATGATGCTGATGTAAAGAATAACAAAGAAAGCTTATTAGCTCTTCTTCGCAATTCACTTATAAGATGTATTATTTTGAGCACTATCAACTCACTGAAAATCTCAGGTACATTCAACCGATGAGTCCCATATAGGACACAGTGCTCGTTCTGAATTTCATTTCGCGTCACCATCTATCAAAATATATTGTGTGTCAACCTAATGGGTTTGTTTAAGGTATTAGGAAACTTTCTTTGGCAAATATTTCTTTCAACAAGGTGTTTCTTCGTTTCTTCATCGGACTGATTTATTCTTGTCCACTTGTTTCTTTGTTTATTCATCATGCACTTCATGTTTACACTTTTCCTCATTATTTTCATTCACTCTTTCCCCTCATTGTTTTCTAATAGTGTGTAGTAGTCAATCGAAATTCACCTACTTTTGTTTGTCCTTACTTCTGTTACCTTTTGAATTTATTTTCCAATCCTTGCTAGAATATAATATAAATATAATACTTTTTTTCATAGGTGAGTGCAAACTCTTTTCTAGTCCGTTTGCTTATTCGCAGTTAGAGCGGTTAGTGTAGTTGTACTTTCATTGTTGTGTGTAGATATCAAGCAAAAAATAAAAAACAAGACTTCGAATCATTCTTTTTTTGTTTGTGACCTTTTTTCTAGTAATTTCATATTTTTGAATAACAATCTTTATCTTTTTGTATTCATCAATTGAACTAATTAAATGAAATCATAAAATGTGTTTATTAATATTAATATCATCACCATCAATGATCTATTCTGTCACAGTTAACTGAAAACTAAGTTATTATCTGAACTTGTATTCACCAAAATTGTACAGTTATTTTGTAGATTGTGCAAAGGATTGCTTAACTAGTAGTAGACAAAATGAAGATATAGAATCATTGTAAATCCAGCGAGCAGTAGACAGTTGTTCTGTCCTGATTTGTGGCTCTTCAGGGGATCGAAGCTCTTCAACCTGTGGATTCTGAATTTGACGGAATCTACATTGAAAAAAATTTCCAAATACGTGCAAAACGGATAACCTGAATATCAGAGTTTCGGTCTCATTGACAGCTGCTGAATGGGTGTCTGGAAGTTGTAATGAGAAGTCTGCGTCAGTAGGGTTCACCATGTCAAGGGGAAGTAGATACTTGTGGAAAGCATTGGTTGGAAGTAGTAGTATATAATGAATTTACAGAGTATGAATTCATGGGTCTTTGAATGGTCAGTGAGCGTGGTATAGGGGCCTGAACGTCCGAGTGCTTTCACGGGTACGCATTACTGAAGACTCGCGAACTGAGACGAAAAGCGCTGTTCAGTGCTCCCTAGTTTTCAGTTATCCCCAAATGATGTTTGTTCGTGACAGAATCTATCTTGAAATTTATTCAAATGAATACAAATCCCGTAATCTGACAATGGAGGTACTTTCGAAAATATACGGCACTTAATTCACTTATGTACAGTTTATTTAATCTTGTGATGTGGAGAAATATCGGCAGCTTTCAGTACATCTACAACAGTACGAAGAAGAATCGAGGAAGATTCATGTCATCACTGAAATATAAAATTATGAAGATAACCAACATCTGGTATGCATTATCATAATGCAATTAAACAGCTTCAGATTACCTCTTGCCCTTACTATTATTATTATTGTATCCTTTAATTCCTACAGGAACATAGGGCCTCAGCCGTGCGTCTCCATTGCGTTCTGTCCTCTGCTAGAGTCTTCACCTGGCTCCATGTCTGCCCACACGTTTTCTTGCCCTTAATGACATCTATTTTGTCAAAAATTGATTAAAGCGCTAACCAAGTCGTCTCCCACTGGTTTACTGGTAGTATGTCACTTAAAATATCTTATAAGTCCACTTGTTTGTACTGAAATATGTTTTCCCATGTGTTTGGATAGTATCAATTAGTATTTCTAAGGTCACAGATAGTAAATGTGTAGATTTCATCCGAGTACTTGCGTTATGCTATTGAATGATTGATCTGGGTAGTTGAGTGCCACTCACATCGTGATCTAAATGCCAGATGGCTGTTTCACTCGTTTAAGACTGAACTTATCAATGATGTACACCTGGTTTCACTCGGCTGACAGCAGCGAATCATTTTCAACCCAACTGAACTCCGTCTTGCAAGCACTATTAGTTGATGTGAGTTGTATCAAGCTACTCATATCAGTCAATTAGTAGTATGTAGCGTCATGCATTAATGCTTGTTTAATTGATTACCTACCATCTATAGTGCCAAACAGATTATACATTGTAATCTAGATAATTTGGTTTTTCAAAGGAAATTGAGATTGAATTTCACATGGAACTGCGCAAATTGCAAATCGTGAGTATCAACCGTTTAAGGTTTGAATCAAGGGGAATTTAATTCTCACTACACTAGCAATTCTTCAACTGTTCCACTCAATCTCTCTAAAATGAATAAATCAGCTGGTCAGTCAATGTAGAGATGGCCACTTTCACCTATTTTTTTATCACATATTTTTTTCTACTCTCAATTTATTTACTTTGATCATTTGAGTTAGACTTGGGGATATGCAGTTGCAACCTTAAATAATGAGACATCATTGGGAACATTCCTGTTGTTACTGAGAAAAAACACACCATTGTGTAGCTTAAAAATGGTATCAATGAAAAGAGTAATTGTTCTTTAAACGTCCTTTCATTTTCTGTATTTATATTTCTATACGATATACTAAATTATTGTAAACTTTACTCATGGTTATTGTTAATGTTCTGTTTGTATCTTACAGATTTAGATGTTTCTCAAGACCATTTCTCTTGACATCTAAAAATTATAAGTCTAAAAGACGTTCAACAAAAGGTTTAAATGATAAAGACGATACAGCAGTGAAACAGGAGAGCAACACTGAAGGGAATACAACTGTCCAGGTAGTACAGTCTTCCATTTCCAGTCCATCTGTTGTGACCAGTGAAACAAAACCAGCTGTCAATGTCACCACCACGACTAGTATTCCAAGTAACATAACACCAGTTTCCACAGGAATCACAGATGATAAAAAGATGTGGAAGTATCCTGTTCATACCACTCCTATTGCTTCTGCTGGTACTGCTACATCGACAATGTCTTCTATGTCACACACAACATTTACATCACATTCAAAAATTGTTCAACCTAATATAATACAAGCTAATTATGAAAATGTGTCACCAGTTGTAATAGAACCTGTTGAAGTGGCTGCTGCAGGTGAAGCACAAGCTGAATTAGACGAACGTGATGAACAAGTATTACAGTAAGTACAGTAAGGTGCCTATTTTAACTTTTCTGAAATTATGTTTTGTTGAAACACTGTTTCTAAATAAATATGTTTCTGATTAGTTTATTATTAAAGTGGTTAGGTATTTGTTGACATGTGAATTTTTAAAACAACAATTAGTGAAGTTGAAAAGTAGTGTGATTGTTTGAATTAAGTGGTTGGTTTCTTTTAAAACCGACTTGACTGTGTGTTTTTATTACAAGTCTATGATTTGTACTGTAAATAAATAAATTTATAATTCGAGGCTAAAACGATTCGCATGGATAGGACACGTGTTGTGAACGCTGACCTCACCCATTTCCTTGACAAGCAATGTTAGCCGACATAATGTTGGGTAGGAAAAAAGGTAGGGGCAGTCAAACGAAAACTTGACATCAATCTATGAGGTCACAAACCGTTGGTTTCGAGCACTTGGGGAGGGGTGTAGGCTACGTAGTTGGGGTCCTCGAGGTGCTAAGATCCCTATGGTTGGAGGCTATTGGTGATATGGTTGAAAATCATTTTCACCAGCGCAGACGCATTCACTCCCTGACCCATTAAAGCATCATGTTTCTCCCTGTCACTATTCTTTCTCTCTGTCGCACATTTTTGCTCATTTTTTTAAAAGTTCTTTTGAATTTTTCTTTTCTAAGTTTTCTCCACGTCTGTGTGTTACATGGAATGTGGCAACTTGAGCTGCTGCATATTTGTGCAGTGTTCTATGTTGAAATCCAGTTATAGTCAGTCAGACAAATTCACGGTGCGGAAAGTGCAACTGGCGATAGCAGTGACAGTGATCGTAATGCATTTTAGTGTGACGTAATTTATAGGATGTGAAGTAAGTAATTGTATAGTAATGCATTTACTGCGATATTTGTAGGTCTTGTGTAAGTATAAGGGTGCTTGCTTCTAGATCGAACCACCTAGGTTAGTACTCTGGAGTTTACAATTTCTTTCTAAATATTTAGGTCATTCATAAAATGTCATTATAAGACGATAAAAGTCGGATAAGGTAATGTGTTTTTGTTTTTCTTTAGTGTTTTATATGTGGTCAGATTCAAAAGTCAAATATAAGGGTTTCGCATGATGTCTTCGATAAGTATGAGCATTGTAGAAGGGGATAAGGAGGTAAAATCTGTTATATCCAACCGAAATATAATTCATTGGCTTGAGCACTCATCTTTCAGCTAATGTATCTCCAGGGTCGAATCCCACCTCACTTACTTTATCCTAGGCAGCTGGGTAGCACCATTATCCCTTGCCCAATAAACATGGCTCGTGGTTACGAAACAGAGAAAATGAACTATTGAATCACAGAATCCTAAGAGTACTAGTAATCGCTTATTCCAGACATGTTTATTTCAATGTGGAATTCTGACTGTCTTATTCGTGATTTATCTGATGTTTACTTCTCTTAACATAGGGAAAATATTTAAAACTTACGGTCTTTACAAAATAGTAACAATTATTATTAAAAGTAATAAGAACAATAATAAGAAATGCATTAATTATAGCGGAGCTGGAATAACAGTTTCTTATTGAAGCACTTGAAAAGGCTAGGTATCTTTGATCATGGGTGCTTACGTTCTATCTCCTGTGTTAGGTGGCATAATTTGGTGAGTAACATTGAGGTTAGGCAGTGGGTGCTAGGTAAGGAGAGAAAATCGATTGATGAGGTTGTGAAGTTACATCGACTGAGATGGTTAGGACATGTCTTACGTATGCCTAGCCATCGCCTTCCTCGTTGAGCGATGTTAGCTGACACAGGATCTGGTTGAGAAAGAGCCAGTGGTGGTTAAACAAAAACATGGAATCCTTCAATGAAATCCACAACAATTAGTTTAAGGAAGTCACTTAGGGAGGTGTAGACTTCCTCACTGGTTAGGGTCCTCGGAATGGTAAGAACCAATGAAGGCTGGAGACAATTGGTGACATGGGTCAAAATCGTTCTCAATGGTTGGCGCAGATGCATTCACAAACCCAGTAATTTATAATATCCAATATAGCTATATTGTTCTTCCATATTACTATCCTTTTGCCTCATATTTCTGTTTATTATCTCTGTTTCGAATTTCTCTAGTCTCTTTTCTTGTTTTGATTGCTGTGTGCAGTGTGGCAACTCGAACTACGTAGAAACCAGTCAGTCAGTCAACTGTTTCTTAATGGTAACACAGCATTTAACTAAGTTCATACCTAATATTTCTTTCTTCGCGTACAGTGCTTCCCATACAAGACATTTTAGAGATTTTGTATTCATTCGTATGAGCGCTTGATGTATATATATATATATATATATATATATATATGAAGGTGGATATGTGGATACATATTCTATGACATCTAGTGAAATGCTTTGCATAAAATTGTTTTTAATAATTGGAAAGGGAGTAATAATCATACTACAGTCTTCTTGTCGAAAACTGCTGAGAAAATTCAACATGTCTGTTTTTTTTTAAAAGCATTTGTCTCCATGTTTAACTAAGTAAAACCACGTATTCTCTGCAAATCCATACTGCTGGACTTTAATTGAACTGAATTAGAGACGTGTATTGACGTCTTCTTTGTTTTTGTCTTGTTTTTGTTTTTTTATATATTAATTTTGCCAACTGATGTTTTCGCAACAGTTTTGTGCGGCACTGTTTTGACTAAAATAAGTAACGTAGTTGTTCATAAAATGTCTATTTCACTTTAGCCATTGAGAATCATAGCCCTCTGTCATGTTCATGAATGAATGAATGATATGTAACCGTTTCGATTTTGGTGTAATGTTGATTATAGTGTATAGCCACGCGTGTATAATGTAGCTACAACACAAAAAGCATTGGGACTAAGTTTAGGATTCTAGGTAAAATAGGACTGAAGTAACTGTCTGTCTACTTCTAATTACGTGTGTACCCGCTGCTTACGAATAAACAATCTTAGCGCTGAAGTACTAGCAACGGAATGAAAACCTGTATTTATCATAACTGAAATCAAAATAATCAGTCAGAGAGTTAGCATGTTGGTATTAAAGCTGTCTCTGTCTATCTGGATTCAACATAGAATTTGTCACCAAAGTGCAGCAGTTCGAGTTACCGCGTTCCAAATAGCACACAAAGGTAGACAAAAAAATGAGTGAAAAGAATCAATAGAGTTTTGACAAGTATAAGAGTGAAACAGAATGAGTAATGGTAGAAAGGAATATGAAAGATTACAGAGACTGAATACATCTGCGTAAGCCATTGACAACGATTTTGAGCCATGTCACCTATTGTCTCCAGCCATTGATTCTTAGAGTCCCGAGGGCCCCAACCCGGAATGGTATTAAAGCAAAATCTATTGGTCCATCTTTTCTAGCTTGTACTGGTTGCTGACTTACAGAACCGTCTTATTGGTACTACGAGTATGCTTCATCACCTCTATTTACGTATGGATTGTAACTTTAATAATTATATTGAATGATCTGCTCTTTGGTACTAGATGGGTCAGTGGTTCAGCGGTCAAGTGCTCACCAACCACGAACGTCGTTTGGGTTCGATTCCTAGCCGACGCACTCCTAGACGTCAGGTAGTCGGTAATAATCTTGAAGAAGTGGCAGGGTTAATCATTAGGCTACCGACCCCACCCCGTAAAAACAACACAAACCTTAAAGAAACTTCCAAGGGTAAAGCCTGAAGACCTATGTTCTACTTGGAATACAGAGGAACAGAAAAAAAAACTGATTCGGAGAAATAGGGTTTACTGTTACTAATTATGACACCTTGATTATACTTTTAGACTTCTCTTATAATGACTGTTGTCTTTTTTTGAATTTTTCTAGTTCGCTGCTAATGAACAAGGCTCCAACAATTGTGTCTTCTGTACCAGTAAACAATTTCTCATACTCACTATCACATCATACATCAATGACACCAGTTACAACACTGTCGTCGAGTACCTTTGTAAGTCATTCACAGACAACCAGCAGTTCATTTACAAATCAATCGACTACACCAGTAGTATTATCCTCATTCAATAATACTTCACCGTATACTGCTATTAATAAGTCAAACTCAACACTGCATACTGATCAGCTGGCTAGTTCTATGCCTCCACAATCACCGTCAACAATAACTACCACAACAATGAACAACAATAAGCAGCAGCCTGATATTTTGAAACAATCTGTAGAAGAAGTGAAGTCAAAGGTTGTTTCATCATCTAATGTATTCTCTTCTACAATTAGCAGCAACACTACAACAAGTAATCATTCTTCATCATTCTTAAATGGGTCGTTAACTCCTACTAAAATATCAGAACCAAGTTGTATCCCTTCGATTAGTCCGACTGTTCAACAGAAATCGGAAACAACTACTGGGATGACGATACCCAATACACAGAGGTAATATTTATTTATTTATTTATTTTAAAATTTGAAATATATAAAAAGGTTTTTCTTTCTCATTGATCCTGCCCTGTTTTTAAAAAGAGGCCAATTCAACATTATAAGGGAAATTTTTTTCACTTATCGATGTATTTATTCGACTGGTTACAGGTGAAATCAGTTAAAAAGCACTCGGAACCACCAGGGAATACTGGAAAGCTGTTTCACCACATTTTGGGACTCTATCTGTACGCACACATAGGGGTTCGAACCCAAGACCTTCCAGTGCAAAGCGAGCTCGTAGACCCTTCATCCACTGGGAAGCAACTACTAGTTCATGAATTCTAAATTCTGTCAATTCGCCATAATATATAGCTCAACTGCCAGCCAATGTCACAGGCCACTGGTCCATCGGATGGAGTTCCAGCGGCTGTATGGTCTACGAGCTCGCCTTGCACCGGAAGATCCTGGTTTATTACCCCATTGGATACGTTTTGTGAAGAGTCCTGAACTAGGACGAAGCATCTCTACAGTACTCCTTGGTTTTGCAATGGTTCTCTGACTTGTATACATAAGCCTGCTCTATCTCTGTTTGACATTCAGACAACTGGATGTAATTCTTTTATGCACTAAACAGTAGATGAGACTTAAGCTTTATTAAACACATTTTTATCCTTGTACATGTACATAAGTAGTTAACTGTAATCTATTCAACGAAGACCTATCATCATCACTAGGTGATGTCTAGACGAAGTAGTGGCTTTTTGGTTACCTGGATAGGCACCATCTTTTCAGATACAGATGGCACAGAATTTTTAACATAAATGTTAAGTTAATGCTTCTGTTTGGCGACGCGTCATCAAAATCAATTTTTAACAGTCTGTTGCAGACTTTTATCAACACCTGCTTTGCGTCACAATGAAGATCAGATGACTCGCCAGGAAGGATAAGCAACAAGAAACTCTGGTAGTGAATCAGTCAAGAACCTTTAACCCCAAGAAATATGCAGAATGAAATTGAAGTAAAATTGGACATACGTTAGAAGACCGTTGAGTTATACTACACAACTGTAAGACCCTTAAGTAGAACTGGTATGGTAGACGATGGGTTGGCTGTTGCTTTGAGTGTAACATGGAGGAGATCGTTTGAAGAGGAGACAGGAGACGAAGGTCTATAGGCAACCATAGAGCCGGTTGAAAATAATTTTGGAGAACCGAATGAAATGGCGATATGCAGTTGAAGCCCTATGTTCCACTGGAAAAGCAAAGAATGAATGATATGAATACTTTTCCCACCATTTACGTGTTTGCATTATCGATGGTAGGAAACATACACACACACACACACACTGGTAACGTATATGCAGCTGTTTCTCCGAAAGCGTCCTCACTGGAATTTCATAATGTAAACACCTTTCTTTCCCTAGAAGGTTAAGACTGTCAACAAATTCTTTTTGCTTGCAAGTTGAATTTTATAACTTTACTTTCATGAATGTAATACTGATATTATATGCATCACAATGCTGAATGCATCAGCATACTCCGTAGGCTGATAGACTAATTTAAATCTTTATGCAAAAGTTCATTAGTTTCACTTAGTTATGAAGAATTTATTCACTTGGCAAATTTACATATCTCTCTTCATTATTTATTTATTTTCAAAACATTATAGTTCAAATGGAGAAAAATCTAAAATTTTATCACTTTCATCTTTGTGCTTAGGAATTCCTGTCTGTGAAAATAAAAACAGAACAAATACTCTTTTGTATAGGTCATTTAATGAAAAAGTTTCAGTCATTTATATTTGTATTTATCTACTAGTCACATGCTGTATTGGTAACTTGTAAATAATTTATATGTACTGATAGGCTGTACTACTGGCAGTATAGCGCAGTTTCAACTGATATTCTTCTTTTCGATGACTCATTTTCATAAGATAATAAAAAGGAGCGAAATTATGGTAAGGACGTTACTCTGGCCACAGTAGGGCAAGTAAATGGATGTAGGGCTTTTGGATGCAGATCCCGAATAGCCAATAATTCAGCTATGTACAGACGGCGTATTCAAAGTCCCTTTGCACGATATTGAGGATCTCTGTGTAGCACTGTGAAAGCAAAACCCAGGACGTACATTAGGTTAAAGGATTAGAAAAATATGTTTGGAAGACACGATAGAGAAAGAATTAAATTCATTACGTGAAACCCGCCAACATGAAAGAAAAGCCTCCGTCTCCAAAAATGACAACTGTTCCTAAGAAAACTCTCTTCGTGAACCTGGAATTCAAAGGTGACATCAAAGTAGGAATTCTTACAAACCGCCTTTCTAAATGTCTGAAGAAGACATTCCAAGCAGCCAACTTACATATCACATTCTCCAGCAGACAGCAAATCCAGTCTAACATTAAGGGAAAGATACCGCTTTGGTCACCTCAATGTGTATTTATCAGTTTACTTACTCGTGTGGAGCAAAGTATATTGGTCGTACGCAACGTCAAGTCCACAAACATATTCTGGAACATTATCCAGCTTGGTTAGCCAGAGGAGAAAAGAGGAATATTAACAGCTCCGCCCTCGGATACCTTGTCACTTCTGAACATCAAGCACCCCCGCATGAGTGCTTTACAGTGCTACACAGAGTCCCTCAATATCGTACAAAAGAACTTCGAATACGCCGTCTGTACATAGCTGAATCATTGGCTATTCGGGATCTGAAACCCGACCTGCGCATTCAAAAGCACTACACCCATTCACTCGCCCTAATGTGGCCAGAGTAACGTTCTTACTATAATTTTGCTTTTTTTTATTATCTTATGAAAATGAATCGTTGAAAAGAAAATTTTCATCTCTGTTCACATCCTTCTCCTATGACTCAGTATACGAATATTTCGTTCATTGATATTCTTCTGCAGAAAGCAGGTTGCCTTACACAGACTATTCACGTAATATAGTGCAATCGATTATCTAAAGGTGAATGAATTCATTTCAGAGATAACTACTATTGATCAATACTTGTCTCTTCTTTAATGAGATCTGCTTTCAATAATTTGTCTCTGGTCCTCATGATGATATATTCTAGCAAAGTGTACACTGAACATTAATAAGAAGTTAAGGATTTCCTATACTCTAAAAATGACGTTACCTTCTGTACCTTTCTATTACAAGGTGTTATCAAAAGCCACATGTAAGCCTAAATAGCTCAGTATTAACATCTCTAACTTTAGCACTGCACAGCTAACTAGCTACACAATAAAATTAGACAGGTCACAAAAATGATTAAAATTTCTCGAAAAATAATAATAAAGAATAATGAGGAAACAAGGAAGTACAAAAGTATGCTGAGTGCAGCAGATTAATGTAGGTCTCTTTTACTTTCCCAATACTGTGACTGACTTGAACATTCTCATTTTTGCCGCTTGTAGTTGAAAAAGTTCTGTCTTCTAGATAAGTGACTCATCATATTTCTCATGTGTTGATGGTGATTAGTGCTCTCTATCCCTTGGTTAGGTTAGGTATCCTGATCACCCCTCTATGTTCAGCTTGAAGTCCTGTCTTCCTTGTTTCTTCGGTCATCTTGTTGTTTTTCGCTTGTGGGTGTGAATCTTCGAGTTTGTATGACACCTAAGCATAAATCGTCTGTAAAGTCCCGATCTTGTAGAGTCTTCTTGTCAGTTCAGAAAAGCTTATGCATTTTAATTAAAAATAAGGGGTTAATCATTTCAGTAGGCAAATATTAGTAGTAATTTTATAAATTTTACAAAAAAGAAGAATCCAATATATTCATTTTAACGTTTTATGTTTTGAATAACAGAACATAAAAATTCAATTATATGAATATTCACATAATTAAAAGCGGGTACAGTCGGTTTGTGTTTTAGTTCAGTTTTTTTTTTAAATAATTGCTGTGCATGTATACAGACTAAGGACACTGCCAATTAATTGATCTCCACATCTATTTCTCTCTCTCTACTGCTTTGCGTCCATTTTCATTCCCACTAATAAACAAAATGACATTATGTTTTTTTATTATGTTTTTATGTTTTATTACTCTCTCAGTCAACCAAAACAGTAAATGTGACATAGCGGACATCAGTTTGAAAGGATTTTAACACTTTAAAATTAATGACATTATGGTGTATTACTTATCTGTCATTTCTGGTCTTACATTCGTAACTATAGTAATAATCAATATCGTCGGAAATCTTACCTAGTGTTGTAGGCAATTTCTTTCTGTACACGGGTTAACATCTTACTTTAACGTTTGATCAGGGATTGATATCAGTTAGAGAACCATTGAAAACCAAGGGGTACGAGACAACTGTTTCGTCTTTGGCATTATGCATCCTCTGGGGCTCGAAACCGGGACTTTCTGGACACAAGTCAAGCTCGTAAAGCATTCAGCCACTAGGACCCGACTCGGTGACCCTTGAATTCCAACTTCTACTACTTCGTGATTTTACCACAACCATCAGCTGTCACCAGCGAGTATTGCTCCTCATGTCCGACCGGGTGGACCCCCACTGGTCACCACTTCTCCATAGAACTTTAGACTAATATACTGTTCTCGGATAAGCCTACTATAGAATGCGTGAAACGATAATTCATCTTCTTAATTCTAATATGTATTACAACTTTTAATTTACTGCATGCGACGGTAATCGATATTATCTTGAACAAGATCACTTTGAGAGGTACTGTTTGTAGAAAGCAGTTTCTGACTTATTATAAATGTGAAGTAAGCAATGTGTACTAGTTCGTGTAAGTCTATCAAACGAGTTCTGTGAAGTAAGAGAATTGTACTACTCGGTTGACTACATTTTCAACATAGACCAATGCACTAACTGGCTTCAACATAGAACTTTACACTGATGTGCCAAACTCCTTGTTAAACACAAAGGAAGACAGAAAAGGAGAAAAAATAATTTCGAAAGAACAATAATTAGCATAAATGTGGGACAGAAAGAATGGTAACATGGAAAAACAATAGGATTTTACTAGATATGCCAGGTCATGCATCTGCGTT